TTAAATTAAATTAATAAATTATAAATTAATAGGTGGATTACTATTAAGTTACATAATGACTAATACCTAAGTTTTTAATTTTAGTATTACAACTATCTACCTATATCTACACACCCATATTCAAACTTACATACTTGTCATCTTAAAACCATGAGGTAGAAAGGACAGATATATTGGCTTCATTCTGAAGGTAAACAAACTGAGTCAAACTGAGGTTAAGTACCCAAGAATATACAGCTAATGATGAGAAAATCAGAAATTAAGCTTTGCAAATCTGAGCTCAGTATTCTATTTACTAAACTACATTAGTCCCAAAATCCTTCTAATTTTCTTTTTCAAATATAATTGCTAAATGTCTTCTATAATATTCCTTTCTGGAATCTGTTGAGAAACATCAGTGTTACAATAAATGTGTCCAAATTAATGGAGGGTGGTATCATAAGCATTAAAATTTTACAGTCAGCAAATGACAAAGTTTTAACATTAATGTCTGTTTGTGTGAGATTTTCTCAATAATGACTTTAATATTCTGGAACAAAATTTCATTTTTAAATGTTTTAACAATGTTTTATTTTAAAAGGTGCTTATTATATACTAAAGAAAGTGCCAATCAAGATACCAAAGACATAAAAGTAAAACGATATTTTCCTAGGGTAATAGAGGGAAGAAGGCCTTGTTGATCCTTTGGGACTCTCTAATATGAAACACAGAGGTAGGAGAATTCCTTCTTTCCTTGAATATAAACAGACCTTTTGGCAGAATAATGCCTCTCCCAAAGTTGATCATGTCCTAAGCTGGAACCAGTGAATATGTCACCTTACATGGAAAAAGGGATTTTGCAGATGTGATTAGGTTAATGAATCTTGAGACGGGGATTATCCTGGATTATCCTGTTGGGCCCAATCCAATGCAGTGGCCCACTGTACTGTGCTTATAAGTGAAAAGCAGAAGCAGGAGAGTCAGAACCAGAGTAAAGCAGCCTGAGAAAGACTTGACCAGCTACTGATGGCTTTGAAAACAGAAGGGAGCTATAGTCCAAGGAATGTGGGCAGCCTCTAGAAGCTGGAAAAGGCAAGGAAATAGATTATCCCTCAGTGGCTCCTGAAGGAACATAACACCTTGATTTTAACCTCATGAGACCATCTCAGACTTCTGATCTCCAGAACTGTAAGATAATAAATATACGGTTTTAAGCAACCAAATTTGTGGTAATCTGTTCAGAAGCAATAGGAAACTAACATATACCTCTCCTAACTAAAGTCTGAGATTAAGAAAGTGAGAGGTATAACCACCATTTTAAAAGTATTGTTCTTAAGTACTTTTCTCTCATGTTGAAACTTTAAACAGGTGATTTTCCATCAACCCAAACTTCATGTTTCCTTATCTATTACATTTATAATTCAGTTTCAGTAATATTAACTCAAAGCTTAAAAAAAATTTTAATGCACTATTTCTTCAATAAAATTTAGCATTTTAGAAAAGGTCCTAGTCCTAGAATTGAAGGGGCTTAATGAAAAAAAGAAAAAAAAGTACCAAAAACTGTGCTAAGGATATTTGGAGATCATCCAGGCTTAAAAGTTACCAGTAGGAAAGTCAGCTTACATGAAATCATGTTTTAATGTCCCTTCATTCTTAGAAATCTAATTGACATTAAGTTTGGTCATTCTGATCTCCTGCTTTGAAAAAAAAAGTTAATACAATTATGTCTAAATCTAACACATTTTCCTTAGAACGGCTTCAAAACAATTACATAATGTATCAAACACTGAAACATAATAACCAGTCTGTACTGGTATAATATATAACAAATAGATTATATAATCTATAAAAGACAGATTTCATAGATTTAATCTCAAGAGTCTTAAGAAGAAGAAATATTTCAGGCATAATGGAAAATTTTTGTTATCTAGATTCTTATTAACAAAAATAGATAAACAAAAAGTAGACTTTTTTATATTATTTTTTTTTTTAACTCAGACAAGTTGCCCATCCCTTGTAAGAGCAAAAGATACATTTCCCAAATATGTTCAAGCTCAACACTTAATAACACTCAAGGAAATTTCTTTCTTTCTTTTTTTGAGACAGGGTCTTGCTCTATTGCCTGGGCTAGAGTACAGTGGCATCATCACAGCTCAGTGCAACCTCAAACTCCTGGGCTCAAGCCATCCTCCTGCTTCAGCTTCCCAGGTAGCTGGGACTACAGGCAAAAAACACCACGCCAAGGTAATTTTTCTATTTTTTTTTTGGTAGAGATGAAGTCTTGCTTTGTTGCTCAAGCTGGTCTCAAACTCCTGGCCTCCAGCAATCCTCCTGCCTCAGCTTCCCAAAGTACTAGGATTACAGGTGTGAGACATTGTACCTGCACACTTTCATTTTTAATTAAAAAAATGATACTGACACATTTATCTA